TCAGGAAAAAATGTACATCTACCACAGCAGACCTGATAAATACCAAATAAAGAAACAGAAATCTAATGACAGATAAGAACAAACTGACTGAATCAATGTTTCAAGACAAAGACAGAGCCCGGTTAGAGACAGAGACAGAGACATACATCATAGCAATATGTGACACTCAGAGACCTGTGATAGAACTGGAAGGCTTTTCACAAATGGCACTTACTATATAAGTCAGTAGTTTGCAACTCTGGAATAAAAGAATACGTGAAACAAACAAAAATACACACAAAAAACGAAGTGAAACCTTTTTTTTGAAATTGCAAAGACAATCTTTAAAAAACCCAGAATAACTTCAGGAAAAATTAAACCAGTAATTGCTAGAACAGTCTAAAATTTTGACATAATTCACAACAATGTTTCCTCAATTCAATACTAGCTATCCTACCTTCCTTTTTCTCAACTTCACTCAGCAAATTCTCAATACAGAAACTTGACACTTGATATCCATTCTGTGTCATCTGTACCAAGAGAAGACACATTTTTTTCCCCTTGAACAAGCTTAAGCAGACACATTTTATCCTCAAAAGTGCAGTCAAATTTATCACTTTTTACATTGAACATTCGAGTTAAGTACATTCTATAACTTGTGAACTTTCAGTAACTGGGTTTCTTGTTTTTTTGGTCATCTTTTATAAATCTTATTAACTAAACTTCATTGAAATAACCATTTAAGAATATCTTCAAAATGTTAATGTTTTTTTCAAATCTAAAAAATCATAAACACATTCCTGAGGCAGCTTTTCTTAATGTTCTTTGTCACACAAGAGGCACCCTAATGCAATCACATGAGACCTTAAAAAATACATTCAATAATCTTTCAAAATTTTTATCTAAAAAAAGTACCAACTGTGGTAACAATATGTGTCAAAAATAATTATGTAACCTAGACACACAAATATTTGTGACATAGTGGTAACAAAACCATTTTGAAACGATGAGTAATTAGTCTTCTAAAGCATTTGTTGAAAGTAGTACATTTTTTCACTCTAAAAACTCTTTACCAAGAAAAGATTGTTACTAGAGATACACCACAAAGCCCCATTGCTATCAGCATTTCATTCACACACATTGTAAACCATCTCGCTATTTCAGCACAAATACATTCCATTATCAATCACACATTCAAAATATGAACCGAACATAAACTCACAACAAAAATGCTGAACAAAATTGTGAATAAGTTGTATTGCACTCTTTTCCTGTCTGAGGTCACTCAGCCAATTACATTTAGGTTATCCCCTCTCCACGCACAAGTCTCAATCACAGAAAGCCACAAAATGATACACATCAAAACTGTTTCTTATTTCTCTGGAAAATATCTACAGGGCTTTGTTTATTGAAACCATATTTACAAGACTTTAAGAAAAAAATACAGCTAGTTCTAATTATATACCTTCAAAAGCAAATTGGTTCCAAACTGTTTCATCTTAAAAGAAATTGAGAGCCACAAAAGTTCTCCATGTTTGAGTGAAGAATGACTTGGGCCAATCATTTTCGAAAAAGGGGAAACTACACAATTTGCCTATTGTCAATTTTTTTTATTATTAACCAAGTGTCAATCAAACAATTTTTAAAAGTCCTAACAGCAAAACAATATGTTCAAAACATTTAGGAAACCCCCCTCCAATTAGGTCAAATCAAGACCAGGAAATGTACGACCAAAAGGACAGTGTCAGCACATTTTGAACACTAGCAGCATTCAATCTGCAGAACAGCACAGCAATTTGACAAATTGAACAACACATCAAAGTTTATCTGAAGCATTTCACATTTACCACTGACTTGGGAAGACAACCGCTTCCGTTTTTACCTCCTCTCTCTCTCTCTGTCTCTCTCTGTCTCTCTCTGTCTCTCTTTCCCTCTCCCTCTCCTTCTCTCTCTCCCTCTCTCTCTCCTTCTCCGTCTATATGTTTGTATATGGACCAGTTGCTCATGCACAAATGCATACATCCATTTACAGCAACACATACTCTTGCACTTTTTTTCTTTGGCATTTATGCAAATATTCTATGTACAGCTGTTCAATTGTTCACGTACAATCATTATAAGAAACCATTGTCATTCCACATGCTTCACTTTAATTTCACATGACTGGGATCCCAGAAAATTTGGGGTTGACTTTGCTTGACTACTCAGAGGTAACAGCTTGCCTTATGACATCAGAAAAATGTGAAAGTTCAAAGACCCAATTCGTCATTTAATAACAGCAGTCTAATATAGACAATTATTATAAAAACTCAGTTGAAATGGTCTGTCCTTATTTATGGCAAAGATCTACATTGATATGACTTTGCCAATGTTGGGTGGAGAATTCTGGAAGTTTATTATCACATGAAAAAAATGACTTTCCCATGAAAGAAATCAGTGGCTGGTAAACTGAATGATCTTCAGTGACAGGGTACAGGGGCCCTCAGCTACAGCAGCAGCAGCAGCCCGAGTCTGTGCTGTTCACTCTGAATACGCTGTTCATATCTACACCACAACAGCAAGCAAGAAGCTACAGATAATCACAATAACATAGCATTGCCAAGGCATGTGGGGGGACAAATGTCAGAAAACATAAGCAGCGTACATGATTGAATTTCCACAGGGGAAGGAGATAATGGACAAGTCAAATAATCCCATACAAATTAAATCATACGTAAATGAAGAATTACAAAGGTTTTATGCATTATACAATGCTTTATGATTCAATACTACAAGATGTTTCTGGTACTATTTTGCTACAAAAGGCCATGAGTTGAGCAAGTAAATGAACCGCCTGGCAGCTTTACACAGTACATCTAAGTCATGCTAATGAATCTGAACGTGACAACTCACCACATATAAACAATAATCGTTGGGTACAGACATAGGATTGATCACGATTCCTTACACAAATACCTAGTAAATCATTGGGCTGGCCAAACATCTCTCACATGTGAAGGACCACTCACAATACATTAAAGCTTGGGAAAGTAGAGGAGCTGTATTAACTACGGAATGTTGATTCTTCTCTCTCACCTCACTGTTCTTAGCTGTAGCACTCATTACATGCACTAACATAGGCAAAAGAGGCTTGTTACAATTCGATCATCACCAAGAACTGGCACATCATAATGGCAATTAAGTTGTCCAATATCCTATAAGTGATGGAAATAGTCATAACCTCACCTAAGGGTAATTTGAATGTGATCCATGCTCTTTCAATACTTGAGGTATCCACAGGTATCTGGAGAACAAAGAGGAAGGTCGTTCTTCCAAACCCATGACGTAGATTGTCAACTCGGCATTAATTTCCATCTTTCAAACAAAATGTCCAGAGTTCTCCACCTTTTCTCAAGCCTGACACTCGGGGCTGTATTTTTCCTTCATAGCCACAGGAATCATATAAGGCCAGTTTCCTCTCCTTACATCAGAAGCAAAGACTGCACTGGGAGTTTTATCTTCCCATTAAACAAGCCAAAGTAGTGTCTGGAAAAAATATATCCAATCATCAGTAGTCCTCTTCGCATGCTGTGGAAAAGTAATAACTGAAAGGGGTTGAATGTGGGACTGTGTTACAGTTCTACCTGGATTCTTCAACGGCAATAAAACCTAAAATCTTTCAAATCACAACTGCCTTGGATGAAATACCATCTGTACAATGATAGTCAGGCAATAAATGTATATCGGAAATCATACAAACACATTGGACAGATCATTTTTTAAAAGAAAATTAAAATTGTATCCGATGGATTATTCAAAAGACCCCTAGGAAAGAAACCAAAGCAAATCAAACAAAAGCAACAACACAGGATACAAGTAGACCACATTTTACATGCACAATAATACGTTGGAAGAGAAACATAGGACGAAAAAAAAAGTTGACAAAATAAACACCTCAAAGGATCAGAACAAACGCACTGCACAAATCAGAGCTGAAATACGTTGGTACAGATATATATATATACAAGTCAATCCCACCACAAATATTATCCATCATATTTAAATTAAAATACCAGTCTGCCTTACACAGATTTACTGCCGCATAACAAAAGTAAAAAGCTATGACAACAGTTTAAAAATCAATTTAATACTTAGGTCAATAATATATTCCTTTATTTGGAAACTGTACAAATCTTTAAAACGGTAAATCAAGCAAGAGACAAACTTCTGCTACAAAATAAATTTGACAAACTGTTAAAGAGTAGCAGCTCAGGATGAACCAGATCAATCCATCTACTTCGAAGTTAGTCATGCAAGGTACTTTTTAAAGGCTGACATGTGACCAGGAATTATGCTATGCAACTAGAAACTAGGAAAATACTGCAGTGAAAAATAAAATAACAAATTTTCTTTTTCAGATATCAACTGATAAGAAATCATAAATGATCACTTACTAGACTATCAACCACCCAATTAGGACCAGAATCTCAGCACAAAGGACAGGTATTCATGTTATAGCCATATAGTCTAAAACAGGGGCAGGTTAACTTTGAGATCGGGGGGCACTTTAACTGGGTTCAAAACAGCAGTCTTGTTTCTTTAAAACTGAACATTAGCAACTTGGTATCTTTACTAGTCTTCCTTGAGAAAATGCTATATATATAAAGTGCAACATTATAAAGCAGTGATAGGATTACTACACACTACAAAAGCAAGTCTCTGATTGAATATATTGAATCTATATAATTACTTTAAACAGGCCTTTCGTTTTTAAATTCCCTGATTACTTTCATGGGCTGCACAAGACCTAATGGAGAGCCACACTTTGCCGTAGTTTACCCACCCTTTCTCTAAAATCTAACAAAATCAAATGCTTAAAAGCTCTTAAAAGGAGGACTAAAGTATTTACTTCAGCTCTGACAATAGGGTTTTGAGAGGAGAACAGAGAAGAGTACAAAAACCTGACAGCAATTTCAAGAACAGTTTTCTTGAGCAAACATGAGAAAACAAAGGAGCGGAGGTCGGGAAAGGGGACTAATTAATTTTTTTTTGGTGGGGGGGGGGGTTTAATAACATGAACATCGGTGATCACAAGGAAGCCTACTATGTGTTCGATTCGAAAGGTATGCACATGTGAACTTACAAGCATACATCCAAGGACGCAAGCTAGAAGGCACACGCATACTCATATAACTCACACCACACTAGACACTTGTATTTCAATATCCAAAACTGCACCCATGACGTAATTCTGGTTCACCATGGAGCACACCAACTGACCCTATTTGGAACTAAATGAAGGGCAAAGGTTTGGAAAAGGTTGCGTGCACACTTGATTAAAGTAAGACTGGTGTTTTGCACTTCATTTTACGCCTCCATGGTGAACACCAAAGCTGTGAAGTTTTCATAAAGACTAACGAGGGGCAGCTGTGACAGTGCCTGGTCTAGGATATCACAATTCAAGTCTATTTACCGCACGGAAAAAGAGATATTTTCAAAAGCACATTTCACTGACTTTCATATACATTTGTAAACAAAAGATGATTGAAATCTTTTTTATCCCTATCTCCAATAACAAAAGAATAACACCTTTTGAGAAATCTAACGTTCAAACCGCAATCCATGATTAAATAACATAAATAATGGAATATTCATAATTGAGCCAATTTCGTTGTACAGGCAAGGTCTTGTCAGTTCCATTTATTCCAAGCGTTTTTTTTTTCCACACTGAATAAAACAAATGCGAAGCATTAACCGGCCATCGTATCACGTTTCAGGACCTAGAAGTTGACAAAAATGAATGATGGATCTGTCCACGGTGGGTTGTGCTTTTATCTCGGTCGTTTTCTTGAACATTGGCTGATGCATTTTTTCTTGCACAGACTGTGAAAATCTTGGATTGTGTCTGAAAGTTAAAAAAAAATTAAAGGATTGTACTTTTTAAAAAGGAGGTTCGTAGACAAGACAAACCTCAAAGCCCTGAAACTTGAGGACACAAATGTCTTCAATACACTAAAGCCTAAAACTTACATTAACCCTATACATTTCATTAGTTTAAAGAAATCCACAACATAAACTGCAGATGAAATATTAAATATACTCATAATGATAGTAGAGAAGGAAACAATGTTTTCTGCACTAAGAAATAACTTTGCTTCCTACAAGTCACCACTTCCTCCTCACAATCCCTCTATTTTAACAAAATATAAACAAAGGCCACACATTTCTCATATCTATTCATGTAAGTAAGAAAATTCTCCTGCCAACTGGTCAGACCATTTGCTGAGATTGAATGAGGGTGGTTGGCGGGTGCTCTGGTGTGGTTTGCTTCTTCTTTCCTATCAAACGTCTATCATCCTTATCTTTCCTTCTTCTTTTTATGTTTGTTACTCTCTTGTAACACCTCTAATCTTCTGGCACTCATATGACCTTATGCAGTTGCGAGCGCCGTAAAACCTCTACTAAAACTAAAACTGAGATTAAATAAGTGCATTACTTCCCCTTTTTCCATTCCAATATAAGCTTCAAACTGTCCAAAACAAAGCTGCACGTTTAGTTTTATGGAAAAGAAAGCGAGACTCTGCTCAACCTCTCTTAAGGACATTGCACAGGCTTCCTTTTGAGAAAAGAATTGGGTGCAAGTTGGCCACCCTATGTCACAAATGCTTGAATGATAAAGCACCATCATATTTATCAAATCTGTTAAGACTACATTCCAATTCGATGTTTAAGGTCATCAACTGACAAAAAGAATTTTTTTTTTACCATCTATGAAACAATGGGTGAAAGGGCATTAGAATATCAAGGCCCAAGGTCTGGAGTGCTTTGCCAAGTACTTTAAGAGAGTTCAAATCTTTTGATTCGATCAAATGTCAGCTGAAGTCATTTCTGTTTTTAAATTAGTAAGATGAACATTTGGAGTGAGTTTCTTTTAGTCACAACACAATGTTTTATGTTATTGCTGAACAATGTATTGTTATGTAAAGCGCTCAGACCCTGTGTGCTTTAATCAGGGTTGAGCACTATATAAATGTCATTTATTATTAATTACTTTTTATTGTTATTGAAAACTTGGAAAGGATTTAGGAAACGAAAGCATCTAGTTTAACTCTGTCAAAGCGTTGGTTTGGAGAAAAGCGAATGACTTAGTTCTTGTCGTCTTGCATCAACAAAATGATGTAACCGGACTCAGTGTAAATATCATAACTCAAACAAAAATTGAAATATTGCATTCAAGTAAAGCTTCACATTCAGAAATTTATGGACTATGCTCTAGGCCTGTCTATGATAAGATAACTGTCGATTTGCTTTCATGTGTTTTGTGAGTGTAATTTTGTCCGTCAAAATTAATTTTTCCCATCATCATCGCCATTTCTTACTCTTGTAAAGCATACTTATGATTAAAATTAATCCTTGTTTCATGCTGGAATGTATTCCTTATTCAATTTCCTGCAACTTGATGTATCATGTTATATTTTGGGTGAAGGTAATGCTTCTATGAATTATTTTGTACATCACCTATGTAGCCAAATCGAGACACAAGTTAATTACGTCATGACCTTAAAAAAACTACATCCAGAAAGAGTTTAAAAAGGGGGTTAAAATTTACTTTCACCAAGATATGATATACTATACCGATCCACTTTTGGAAAGAACAGGGATGTTCAGCAGCTCTCCTATCCATGTCCTCCACCTCCCTATAAACACTGTATCTTTACAATTGCTTTTTTAGTGCGTCAATAAAAAGTCATAAATCAGTAGTTGGGTTGGTTGTTTCAGTAATAAACTCACCAGAAATGTTCCAACTTTTCACTTTTTCTGAGCTTCCAATATCTGCTGAAGCAACTGTTTGACTGAAAATATAGAAAACAATTTTAATCCACTTTGCTTCCAAAGAACTCGTCAAAAAGAAACTCAATAACTTATCAATACAACATGCTTACAGCAAAAACTTGGTGAGACCGACATGAGGAAACACAAGGGTCCAGAAAACAAAAATTGAATCTATGTTATTGCAAAGTGGTACTTAATTTGAAATGACTTGTGATTCAATCATTTCATAGATATGCAGTCGAAATTGTCCACAACAGCCACTCTTTGTCGAGTAGAATAGTGACCGTCTTAGACAGGTGGTGTCTTGGACAATGTCATTATAATATTCTAAAAAACAGAGGGGGGATGTGGGAAGGGGTCGTTTGCACAGATGACTGTTTTAGACAGGTGGCTGTTACAGCAGATTTGACTGTAATATGATAAAGCTTTGTAAACATTATAAAGAGACAGGCAATGACAATGAATCCAAATGTAAAAGATGAGGAGTTCTAATGACACACTTACTCTGTCCACCATTGGCGTCGGCCTGCAAAGACGAGGGGTCAAAGACCACTACAATAGGCTTGGACGTGAGAGCAGAAGCTTGAGCCACAGCATCCTGGTCAGTGACTGGTTGGCTGCTCCCACTGGCTGCCACCACAGGCTGGCTTAGAGCCGCTCCACTGACGGCATACGAGCCTGTGGAAGGGGCTGAGCTGCCCTCAGAGTTGCTGTGGACTGAATAGCATAAAAACACAAGAGTTAAAAGAAAATGTCACCATATCAAAGTAGAAAATTTCATCCATGACCTTCGATAAAAGAAAAGACATTGGTTTGTAAGAAAAAATGTGGTCAGGGAAAAATAGTACAACCACCTCTTCTATTTTAGTAGCTCACAGAACTTGCAACACAATGAGGTCAAGTAAGTGCTGACGATTAGAGGTGTTATAAGTGAGTAATTTGCACCAAAAAGGAGGAGATTTAAAGACAATAGATGTTTGATAAGACAGAATCACAATGACTACTGAACCTTTACAAGCATTAACACCTGATTAAAAATCTATCCTATTCCCCAGCAACACTCACCCACACAATGGACTGCAGGAGTACTCAGAGTGACTGGAGCATTCATACTCTGGGCTTGATGAGACACTAAGCCATCCGGCCGCTCTTCTAGGAGGAAGGTAGGCAGAGTGGTCACTGGAGACGTTACAGCATCTTGGCCTTGGGTGGGTTTGGATGATGATGACGAAGAGGAAGCGACGGCAGTATGGGTAGGGGGGCTTGCGACAGATGATGTAGATGATGGGCTACCGAACAGGCGAGCCGGTTTGATGAGAGGGGATGACGAGGGGGTTGGGGGTGACCTGACAGGAGTACTGCCAGATATGGTGGGGATGGTTCCCGGAGGAAGCTGGAACATGGACGTTGATGTGGGCGCCAGAGCATGGGTCTGATGGACCATTCTGTTCAGATGCAAAGCTTCTGAAATAGGAGGAACAAAACGCTAGTCTTCATTCCATTTAATGGACATGAGAAGGGCAAATACAAGAACAAGGAAAGATGACAGTGCAGCAGAGAAGGGACAGAAGAGTTTACTATATAGCAGAGCAATAGAAATGACGAGCCCATTATTGACAAATATCCTTTTCTCAAACTCCTGCGCCTAATTTCTTTGAACTTATAACGTCCCTTATGCCCCTGATCAATCACACAAAAAAACTTTCAAACTTGATCTATGCACACCATCAAATACAGTAAAACATCAGGGCATCATAAGCACTTCAGACAAGAAAATATCCTTTTTAAAGAAGCCACGGAGGACAGAGCTGTGCTATTCTCTTTTATGCCTCCACTTTTTAGCCTCAAGTGTGTCATATCCAGAGTAAAACACATCAAGATTTTACTGTCACATATCGTCTGCCTTCTGCTCCCCCTCAGGACAGGGAAAACTGTATGACACACTTGCCTACCAACAATGGATATGAAAGTACAGTATTGTTCATTTTGTAAGCACATCTGCACAGTGCTCTTCAGAAATTTTAACTCATATCACAATGTACAACTGATATTCAATGCTCGCTGTGCACTAGAGATGAAGAAATAAATGCTAGAATAAGTATGCTGAGTATGCTCATAGAATATTCAGTGGTTCCCGCTTTGCATTTTTAAAATTCAGAGACGGAACATGCCAGAACAACCCGGATTTTCATAACTATATAGAATTTTGGAAAAAAGCTACCTATATGATACAAGCAGTTTTTGAAAGCTAGCCGTCATAACAACTGGAAAGATCATACTCTACACAGGGCAAATTTCAAACATTCCAAAGTTCAAAGCCTATATAGTCTAATGAAACATTATCGGTGGAGTGTTAAAAACCACCCTTTTGAAATCAAAATAGTAAAACAACCAATAGGTCAAATACTGGCTATGCATATTTTGTTTGTATGTCTTTGCAACTTGAAGAATTCTACAATGAAAAACAATTAATTCCAGATGAAAACTCAGGATATAATTCCTACCTAGTAGAACTTAGATACATTAAAATTCATGTTTAGTAAGAACTGAGCTATAATTCATATCTTGTGAGAAAAGAGATATATAATTCATACTTAGTGAGAACTTGGATATAATTAAAAACGATGAAAACCGAGATACAATCCCTACCAAAAAAGAAAAGAGATGTTCGTGTATTACCCACTCAGTGAACTGTGATATAATTCCTAGCCAAAGAGAACTGCGATATTATTAATATGTAATGAGAACTGCAATTCCTACAAGGAGAGAACTGAAATGTAATTCCTATCAAGTGAGAACTGAAATATAACTCCTCTCGGGTCAGAACTGAAATATAATTCCTACAATGTGGGAACTGAATTTGTACCTGGTGAGACAAAAGGCAAGGGCCTGGAAGGAGCAGCCTGGTCTGTTTCCATGGGCATTTCGTGTTTTTCCAAAGGGACTTCTTGTTTGACAGGGGGAGCCACAGGATACACTGCACAAGACACAAATCAAGGTCAGTTAAATATACAAGACCAACAACTACACAAAACTTTACACATAACATCTGACCTCCACTTCTCTCAATCTGAAGCACTTCTAGAGTGGTAAAGGATAATCCCTATTTTCCAATTTGTTTCACAAACTATTTCCTCACAGTGACTTAGTCTTACTATCGATACTATCGTAAGGGAGACAAACTCATCAGTAAAATTAATTATGGTTGTTTTGCTTTTCTGATGCAGCATTTGTAATTTCTTCTGAACTGGGCAAACAAGGCAGAATAAAAATGCACTTCTATTCATCAGATGAATTGTGCCCAAATTAGTTCCAAGCAAATAGAACACGAAGCATAAGCAAAGCATTAACAATGTTGTTATGCAACCCATTTTCCAAATCATTATCAACTTTAGGAAGCAGGATTATTTATCTCTGCGACTTGTTTACCCTACACTCATTCAGAAATCCACAAACAAAGAGAAAATTAAAATAATCACCAACTGCTACATCACAAAGCAAAATAACCACTGTCGGTCTTTCAACTAAAAATTACAATTCTAACAAGCCTGCCCTGAACTATCTAAGCAAGTCAAGGACGGCTTTTCATTTGGTGCAACACCAACCACCATTACAGAGAGTACTGAGGTCAAACATTATGTTATCAAATGAGGAATGCACACAAACACCTTTAAATAAATGCCAGAAATGATAAAAACAGAAAAAAATGTTAGTATTAAATAACTGCATCTATCCGCAGAAAACATATCCCCCTCCCCCCCCCCCCCCCCCCTCCAACCCACCCTATGTTATGGGTTAAAAGAACAAAAAAAAGCCATTGGATAGCAGAGAAAACAAACATTCTAGACACACGAGGGAAAGGGCAGAAAATCTTACTTCTTTCAATGATAGAGCAGACTATTCCACAGATATCTCCCTAACTCTTCACAAGAGAATAATTCTTAACAAAGTCTGCACACAATGAACTATAACAGAAAGTTACATTTGAAATTTCAGAAGAAGTCATGGGCAAGACCTGATGATCAGAATCCTCTCAAAGTAAGGTATGACTAGGAAAGAAACAAGACACTTTTCCACAAAGAAATAAATGGAAGGTAAGCATGAGTACTTGAGCTTTTTCAGTTCAAAGAAAACACAATTTAAAAAACTGGTTTACAGTTTCAAAACAAAACAACTGCAACTTGAAAGATGTTACAGCTGTTAATATACTCCAAATTAACATTAAAGCCTTACATCAAGATTATGTCAAGCGATGTATAAATAAACAGAAGATTTTAGTGTTTTCCAAACTTGAGGAGAATGAATAAAGAGTACTGCACATAAACCAGATTCAGTAGCCAAAAAAACCTTTTTAACACAAAGAAGACAGACCTGAACACACCTACGAAGAAGACCTGTTAAAACCATCCCTATCATGCCTGTCAGCTGACTTGTTCCATTTGAAAAAGAAAAAAACCATTTGCACTAGAGGAAATAAAGCTCCCAAAAAGCAAAGAAGTTTTAAAAAGATAGACATATTGTCCGACCCAACGTAATGATCTAGCCATGAGAGAAGAAGGTGATCTAGAAAATAAAAAGGACAATACAAACACAAGTTAATTTTACAATTTCACGAAAAAGCAATAAAACTATTCTAGGTGATTCCACTATTCACATACAGGCTGCCTTCATTTTATGCCAGGGATACACTCTTTGAAGAAGCAATGTAAGGAAAAACCAAAGCAAAAAGAAGCCAAAAGGTTTTGGACAGAAGGGGGGGGGGGGGGGGGGGGTCCACAAAGGAATTCTTCTTTTCAATACTTGAATTCTTTGTCAAAATTATTATCTTATACTGAAGCAGAAAACAAAGGTATTCTATCAGAATTACCAACAAGAATTAAAATAATTTCTGTGTTATCAGATGACTCAGAGCCATAATGGATTGGGCAACTTGATTTGAGTCATTATGACTCTGCATTCTTTGAGTGATATCCATCCATGAGAAGTCAGGCTGTCCCAAATTATGAATTATAGGTATTGCAACACCAATCTTCTTCTTTCCTTAATAAATTCTTGATGAGGTGTTAAGCTATTTAATCAGTTCCCAACTAATTTACAACACCCTAAAACACAAGCAAGTATTCATTTTAAAGAAACTAACTGCATTACCACATCATTTCTTCATTTTTACTTTAGAGACCCAAGAATTGCGATGAATCTAATAAAATTATAACCTGCATAGTTTATTAATTTTTATTCTGGAGACCCGAAGAATTGAGATAAATCTAAAGCCGAATAAAAGGGCAATCAGTGTAAATTAATCCAGAAGTAAAATGAGGGCAGCCTGGAAGCCTCTGTGATTACGTGGGGCGAGGGAGATAACCAGGGTTAGAACAATCTTCCCTATTCAAAGCTAACTCAAGCTTAGAATGACAGAGCTTTTACTAGAAAAATTCCTCGCCTCAAGTAAAAACAGTACAGAAAAAAGAGGGAAAAAAGGGGGAAATCTAAAGCAAATTGTATTTGAGAGATGCCAATGATGTATAATGGACTGAGGTGTTGTGTGAGCTTTGATGATAGGAAACAGAGGAGATGAAAAGAGAGTGGGAAAGTTTTGAGAGGTAGGCCACATGCACGAGGTACAAGGAAGAAAAGAAGGATGACAGTGATAATCATTAGGAGAACAGAGTTAAATTGATGTGCTGAAGAAGAGGGGCAAATGGGAGTCAAAGACATCTGCTGGAACGCAAGCTTTTATCCCGTGAAATAACCTGCACAAAATGGCGCCACAGAGCCAGGCAACATGCACACCAATTGGCCACGCCATCAAAATGAGGCCACGCAAAACTACGACGCCCTAGCTAGTCAGCTGACGTAGTAGTCGCCGCTCTCACCGTGACGCTAATGGGAAAAGGACAGATGACAAACAGCAGTTATTGTATGGAATCCCCTCAGGTCAAATCCTTCTACCACTAATTCTTTAGAAAGTTTCCCTATAGAGCAGTCAAACTAAAACTACATAGCTGGCATTGATTTCCCCATCCTAGTGTCCTGCTTCTAAGTGAGGCTAATGGTACCTTTCCCACTGTTTATTCCTCCCTGCTACTTTTTACATACTCGAAAATGTAAGATGCCATTACGGAATTTTACCTCCCATCTAATTGTTAAAATCCAAGTCAACAAATTACAAGACCCAAAAGGCTAGAAGAATTTTCAATGTAACAGTAATTTCTCTTGGTATAGATCCCATTTCGCCAGTTATTACAACCAAGGGCAAAAGCTTCACTATAGTTAAGTGATAACATTCCTTGGGAAATTCATGGGAAAAAAAGAAAACTTAATTTCAAACAACTTCTCCTTGGAACCAGTGCCACTTATAATCATCACAAAGTCAATCAGCATTATCAATACCTAGTGAACAGGTACTTCATATAATGTACTCTACAGCATTTTCTCAACAAAAAGAAGCACAAATTTTTTATACACCTCTTTTAACTTGACTGGCTGAAATTCCAATATGTCAAAATCATTACATATTCTTTTCTTCGATAACCCCAGGATAATTCACCTAAATATCCTTCAAACGGACATCGGGTATCCCTTTTATGCAGTCAATCTGTATCCCCTTTACTGTGGTCAGGCTTGAACACAACCTAAATTGCCCCAACATGTAAGGAAACGTGCAATTTAACCAAAAAATAATAATGGCGGGTGGGTACACAGGGTAGAATAAAATTACTTCAACTTAAAAACATAACATCATTGCCAAAAGAATCATGTTTGCATGGTATCCAAAAGACAGGTTCTCTTTCCAAAAATGGAACACAAGAGGATAACAATATATCACTCCTCTTTTTTATGTAGGCCAATTTATTTTAAAAAACAAGACTTTCATACAAAAAAAAAGAATCTGAACCCCTTTCACTCTCTATTTCCTAATGACAAAATGTAAACATATAAAGACCAAACATCTGAGATGAGTAAAATCCTCAAAATGCCTTTCAGAAGTCAAGAAGTAGTCAGACCTCGTAACCCCCCCCCCCCCCCCCATAATACGATCAGCCCCGCTTACCACCAGGTTTTGCGAATGTTTGAAAAAGAGCACCTATATAAACAAAGTATTTGCACTTCACACCGCAATCTGCCAACTGTTCGAGTCGAGTTGTATGGTCCTTATTAAAATTTAAGTAATGTAAAATAACCCTGCCATACCACCAGTCAACTGACCACCAGAGGTACACACTGCACACCCTACCCACTGGTCGGCTACTTGATAATTTTTCTCCCATGAGAAAGACAGAGAGATAGAAAGAGAGAAGACTCTTGGTTCTGAATACATGTGATTGTATATGTATATCACCAACAATAAGACACTTTTAAACACACAGCAGAATTATGCTCCTTAATGTTGGGCAGTCGGGGCTGTGCAACATGGAAACCCAGTTGAACCGCCAGCCCCGCTGTTCCGCCAACTTCCTGCTTGTCCCAATGGTGGCGGGTATGACGAGGTTCGACTGTATATATTAGGCAGAATCAAAAGGGCGGACTCTAGTAACTTCCAAAAAGTGATTTCCACAAATCTCCTTGTTCAGCCTTACAACTGTTCTGACAATCCAATCTTAGGAGATAACTATCAGCACATTTGTAACTTTCAACTGTCAAGAACATTGACCTCAAATTACACTCACACTAAGACATCAAGAAGGGCATACTGCAAATGCAGCAAAAACACCAAACTCACTGGCATAGAAGTATAGAGAAAAACAAGTAAAAGCCCATCTGAAATCGTCTCGCTCACTATCCCAAAGAGCCCTGACCACAGTTTGAAGCTTTTAAATAGTCATCTAAAAAGTATAGACAAGTCTCTTTCAAAGGTTCAAACTAAAGTAACTGTCACTTTCCATTCACAAAACACAGGAAATATAAAAAGTGTACATCACTTGTTTTTGCGGCACCAAGACCTTCCCTCAACTCTCTTTGCATTTCAGAAATGCAATCAAACGCAAGCAGGTGAGTATGGGAAATTTAGTGAGAGTTTCATGGAACTTCCAACACAATGTGACAATTACGTCATATAAGTGCTGAAGATTAGATGTGTTACTAGAGAGTAACATACGAAGAAAAGATGAAGAAGATATATATATATATATATATATATATATATATATATATAATGACAACAGATGTTTAATAGGAAAGAAGCAGCAAACCACACCAGAGCACCCGCCAACCACCCATCAAGCAGGTGAGAGAACAAAAAGAGGTCGGGATTAGCTGTAGACACTGAGTGAAAGTCTCTTAATCTATCAAGAACTGAACTAGAATAAGAAAAGGAACAAATATCATCACCCCCAAGAAAGAGAAACCAGTTGGTAAATGTCACAACTCGTAATCATTTCAGCATACATAAAGTGAATTCACCTATACGTAGGCGAGGTTCTTCAAACTGAAAGCTGAATAACAGAAAATAACACTGTCCAGTATAGAATCCATGAGAAGTGTTATCTCATGCGAATGCACTTCCAACTTAGGAAAAAGAAAATTTCAGAAAGAACAGACTGACAGATAGATGATGAAGGCTCAAAACCTCTACAAAAATCATGAATAACGAGATGGGTTATTTGACTGTTCCCTACAATCCAACAGCCCATCAAATAGGTACATTAAAATGACAGGGTGGTGAGGTCCAGTTTTTCCCAAAATAGAAGCCAACAAATCTGTCAGCATTATTTGACCTTGTTTCTACCTGACATTTAGAGATTGTGTTAAACAGACATTTGATCTGGAAAAGCAAGCTTTTCAAAATTGAGCTGATGGGACTTGTGACCCTGTCATTTCAAGGTCGTGACAAATCAAGAAAACACGTCATAAAAAAATAATCAATCCTAAGACTCCATGTCTTTGATTTTGGGTTTTATAAGAAAGAAAATGTGCGGCACAAAGAGAAAGCCTGCAAGTCATGATAAGCAGTCCAGGGAAAAGTCAAATCTCTATTATGACACTTTTGTGCCTATTCCCCTAAAACATGCAATCAGACTGGAATTATAATATCACAAGAAGCAAAATGCTCAGAAAAATGCATGACGGTTGTTTTTTAAAAAGTGTTTGGGGGAAAAAAAGCAAAAGAACATTTTCACGCAGTAACAGGCTCTCTCAAACTGCCACACGGGTATGATGGACAAAAGAGATACACATTAGGCCTATACGAGACACCAAGTCAAACACAAAAGAGCTGCTTTCTAACTTATGTTAAAAATGTACAATAACATATTCCGAATTGGTCCAAGCTTCAGAATTTGAATTAATTTCACTCAAAAGTATAATATGCAAATATTATAACATACATACATAGTAGCATAGTTTATATATTTTTCTTTAAACAGTGTTCAAAGAAAGGTGTGCGAGAATTTTCACACACCTATCATACTGTAATAAATCAGTGTCAGTTTTGAGCGTAAAAATTAAAGCAAAATGCTAATATGTATTAATTTTGGAAGCATCCCCCCCCCCCCCTTTCTCCCAACTACTTGCATTGAAAAAAAGTAGAGAAGATAAACAAACTTCATAACAGTCTATAAAAAACATTAATTCAATTCCTCCCCCCCCCCCCCCCCCCCAAAAAAAAAATACCCAATACACTCGCTTGTAACTGAGGAATAGGAATACTCCAAAGTCCAAAATCAACCCCTTTTATTGCTAGCCGCACATCTAATATCAGGTGAATTTCTTACATGCAGGAAGGGGGCTCAACATGAGAGAAATCAAGTACTAGTCGGGCACCAAATTTAGTGCCTTACATTTAACATCAGTAGGTTGGTGCATCGAGATCGATTTAATCTGTAAAAATCCTATTCGACATCAATTCCCCTTTGTTGAACTTGATCCTAGATGTACAGGGTGATCCCCAAAAAAGACTGTGCAACTTTTTTGTTTGTTCATATTTTCCTCCACACTGAAGTTTTGTGTTTCAAATTTGGACAAAACATTTGGAAGTCAAAAGGAATTTGTCTAATATTTATTTTAGATAAATCCACAGAATAGTTTAGCTCTTAATAGCGCCTAAAAAAACCCAACCCATTTTCAGGTATGTCCCCATTTTTGTAGCATGACGCACCAGTTCGCATAAGGCCTACCACTAAAAATCCCAAAGATTGAACAATATTGCAAGCTACAGTAGTCTAACAGGCCAACAGAAGCTTGCAGATTGATAGTCTTTCTCAAGTTTCCTTTGCCTGCTGAGATCATGGTTAAGATTAGTGAAGAGCAGAGAGCTTTTTGTATTGAACATTTTCTCACCACCAACTTCTTTCGTAAGTTTAGCACAAGGCACGGAAATAAAGTTAGAGAGCCCTTAAGGCCTTCTTTGATGTCAAGGATGAAAATGGTCTATCAGTTAGAACCTATAGAGAATCAGAACTAAAAATTCCCAAACAAAAAGATCATTTCAGGTCAAACACCGTTCGCACCCCTTAAAACGTCATCAGGGAGCAGAATTCAGTATATGAGCCCCATGAGACGTCTGTCCGTAGACGGTGTCTGCACCAATGACATTCCTACATCTCAACGGTCCGCATTCTCAAGGCAGATCTTCATCTACGACTATACCATTTTCCCGTTTGCAAAGCTATCAGAGGATAACAATGTGTTCATGATTCCTTGATCACCTTCAAAAGCGTGAAAATTTCTTTTATGTCATTTGGTTCCTTGGCAAAGCCCATATTCACCTTTCAGGTTATATCAACTCCACAAATGCTGTCTATTTGGGCAACCCCCCCCCCCATTCCCCTATTGAATCTGGAAACAGCTCCATACTGTAAGGTGTACAGTGAGTGTGGCTTTGAGTACTCATGGCTGAGTGGATCCTTGTGTTTGGCCTCCACTGAACATTACGAACGACGCGTTAAAATGTGTCATGTCCAAGGGAGGACATACAGACCATTGGTTCTCGAAATTCCAGAACTTAAAAAATATGTTTTTTAACACTGTCAGAGAAAAGAAATATTGTTTAAAGGTTACAGGGATGAAAAGATAAGATTTTTAAAATAAAAGGAAGGGAAATAACAAACCAATCGCTTCATGACTTTCCTTACAAGACCTTTTAAATTGGCGCATTTTTGAATTTATAAGTGGTTTTTATAAAAGCCATTTCCGTTTTCCAGAATAAGTTTCTTCTTTGTGAATTTTATGTCAAACCAATTCCTTTTGAATGAACTATATCTGTTCCAATTTACAACATTCTAGTACAAATTTTGTGCGAGGCATTCAGAAAAAAAGCTGCACAGTTGTTTTTTTTGGATCATCCTGTATTTCGAACATATAATTCCCGGGGGGGTATACTTTTGAACCTTGATTTTAAAAAACAACATTTAAAAACGCTTGTATTACAGGCGGTACATTTCCTTAAATCACAGCAAGACACAACAAGACAGAATAGCACAAATGTAACCATAAGCACCACCTCCTTTTTAAAAAAATTTTTTTTATTCAAAAATTTCTTCTTGCCAAAATTGTAAACGGCAATTGACTTCCAAGGAGAAGAGTTTTGCACTGGCTCAGATTTTCTGTAAAAAGACTTGACCATAACTTATTGACTGTTCCATATCAATTCAATACCACACTGAAGCCACTTTTTATTAACGATATATTTCAAAGAAAGAAAGCAAATAGCACAATGCAAGTATTCAGTGTACTGATAGCATACTCCTTTCATCGCTGTTTAAAAATTTGAACTGTTTCTAGCATTTCTGGCACCCATCTAAAAATAATGCGCTCTTTCAGCACTTTAATCCCACTAATCTTTGAAAAAACTCATTTTTTTAGTGTTCTTAATACTTTTGCAGTTATAAAAATTGCAAAAAATATGTCATTTAACAATAATCTTTAAGTTCCATATATCTTAATGAAAATACATAAATAAATAGAACATTTAAAATATCAGTCTTAAATGGAATTCGACTTTTACTAAAATATTTAGTAGGTGCCTACATTTTTGGTCAAACTGACAATGAAAATGTGACAATAAAAGTCAATCTAGACACGGGAGCTGGCTGAAATTACAATGTAGACATAACAGTCAAGCATGGGTTTGGGGAAACAAGACATCATTTCATTCAAATTCGATAGAGAGCACCAAAAACACCTGACTGATGTAACCAGTGTAATTTCTACCGCCCCTGAATCTTAAATAAAATTGGGTGGTTTTTTCCCCAGAAGCCAGAATCATTTTGTATCTGTTTCAAATTGACAATGAATACGAGATGAATGTATCTCAAGAAGGGAAAATGGGTACTAAAATAGTAATGTGCTGAATTAGCTTTCAGGACTGGGCTTCTAAAAAAGCAGTCAATGACAAGGCAAGCTATAGCTCTAAAAAGTTTTCGCACTGCCTCATCTATGCTCAATATCATATTGACGTTTTCAATAATCCAAGCCCCAAAAGTTTTCCAATAAAGTACTTTAAGCAAAATGTGAGCAAGAGGCCTCAATGGCTTTTTCAGAAAAGTGCTGTTCACATTACTATTTCAGACTTTCAATTTACTCAGTCACATCTTCATTGCAGTGCTTAAAAGAAAAACATGGGGATCAAACTACCAACATTTGGTATAAGTTCAAAAAAAGAAGGCTCACCTGGTTTGTAGGTGAAGTTATGGGGGTCACTTTTCTTCCCAGCACAACTCACAACAATCTGAGTCACTTGGGGCTTCTCAATCAGCTTTTCCTTATAAGGAGGAACCTTGCATATTAAATGAGTCTGGAAAAACAAATGGACAAACTCTTCAGTATTGAAATCTCATATGGAAATGTATAAACAGAACATCACTAATGATAGTCCCCATTTCTGGCCATAGGTAACCCACAGCTCCATCAAGATGCCAGGCTTGAAACTGCTGACACATGAGAGGATGCACAACTTTTAACAATTTCACTTATTTTATTAGTTTTGTCAATTTATAAACTTTCCAGAATCGTCTTTCTAGTTCCCATCTTTTCAATGCGAAAAAAATGGCAGGTGCAGCCATTATGACTCAAAATATATCTACTCTTTGTTTCACTTGAACTATCTCTACAAACCAAACAAAGAAAAATTTCAAACGCCTGAAGGCAAGCAGGAATGGAATGGCAAATGGCCATCTTTTTAAAACAAGACTTTACTACTCTGAATTCTGTCTTTCCCAGACCGTTTTCCACACCATGGCCAATGCATTTTGGTGGCCATTCTTTCCCAGTAAAAAAGAAAAAAAACAACCAAAATTTTTTTTTGCAAGGGGGGAGGAGAAACTGAAATGTACTATACAGTTGAACCTGTGTAAGACGGAATCGTAAGGGACCCAGAAAAAAATTCCATGTTAGACATTTTGCGTCTTAGACAGGGGAATTTAGGGGGAGATGGAGGGGTAGGGGGTGGGGGGTTCAAAGACCTTGCCGGTGGGATCAAGGATCGCTTGTCCGATCGGCAAGCAGTGGTCAAAACTTCACACCCCTCAACTGCTATCCTGTCTGATAATGACATGCGTCACTCTTACTTATCCAATTATCACCAGTGTTTGCCTTTCGTAGGACCACTGTTTGACCTATTAAAAACAGAAACGTTTGAACATTTTCTTTGCTTCCACCCTTCGCTCTACCCATCTACAGTCAACCAATGCCACCCCTCACTGCCATCATGTAACAACGATTCAATGAACTCTTTTCTCGGCTGGCGTACGATCAGGGCAGCAGGCATTGGTCAAACTAATGTCACACTTCTGACTTCTAGCTACCCAGGAAACTTTGCGTAGTGGCTCGCTACTTAAGCCCTCTCACGGGCAATTGTGAGATTTCACACCCACACTACCCTGACCATCTGCATCGCTCAGGGCTCACATGATGGGGTAACATCTACCCCCAAATTGCACCCCTACTCCCCTTCCTCGCCTAGCGGCATGGCCAAGGCGTTAAGTTCAGAGCCGGCGGAACCAAACGCGAGTTTTGTTTCAAATCAGGGCTGAGCGGGTAAAGCATTTTCCATCTTAGACAGGTGAAACCCTTGGAAGGGAGCGAATTTTTCTTTCCATTTCCGCGTTGGACAGGTTTCCGTTTTATATAGGTAATTAAAGAAGAATATATAAAGGGGGGAGCGGGGAAATTCCGTTAAGGCAGGTTCGACTGTATATCAAAATGTGTGTAATTGAATTTTCTATTAAAAAGTCCAAAGAAAAAAAAATTAAGTATCTGTCTAGCCAAAATATGAAGCTCACAGTAAGGAATGATTCTGAACAGCCATTTTTCAAGTACCTGCTCAAAGACACATTTTAGAAATTTAACAGCTCACATTTTTTTTTTCTTAAGGTCATGTCGACACACCCTAAAACTAACCAATCTATGCCAGTTTATTAAGTCTACCTGACTCCAAGAACAAGAATTAAATTTTCAAAAAAGTGTAATGTTCAAGAATTCCTTGACATCAGTCGTGTGTGTAGCCACATATTAAAATGCATTTCAGGAAAAATTAATGACAACTTCTATGATTGATTGATTGGGTAGATGTTTTACGGCACTATCGACACAATTTTGGTCATTTAAGCGCCATCAGGTTTCACCGCTACAAAATCAGACGTGTTTTAATAAAGAGTCTTTCGGAGCTCGCAACCGCAAACGATCACACTATTTCTATTATGCTAAAAAGACGGACAAACATTTATAAAAATTTTTTGTAAATATGGAAAAGGCTTATTTACATTTGTATATACAATACAAATTTCAGTGTATGTATATATACACCGTATGTATATATACACCGACAATGACAACTATATATTTTCACATTTTATTAAACAGTCCAATTTCTTTTATAAAACTTAAAATTCTTCTAGGTTCTATGATGTTAAAAAGGGTTTTAATATCTTTACATTTAAAATATTTATCACGGACATAATTAAAGTCGACACATTCCATTAGGATGTGCCGAACTGTGAAATCTGTGTTGCACGCCACGCAAAAAGGAGCTTCCTCTCCTTCGAGCAAATGTTTGTGCGTGACGTGCGTGTGTCCTATTTTTAGTCGGGTAAAAATTACTTTTTCCCTTCGTGGTAGAGAAAATGGTTTCCTGGGCGTAAGTTTCGGTTGAATGTAATGGAGTTTGTTGTGTATTTGTTGATTCCAACTTTGGGACCAGGAGGATGTGATGTGTTCTTTTACTTTCGGTTTCATGTCAGAGGAAGGGATTTTACTATTTTTGTTTTCAGGTAGTTTTAGAGATTCTTTGGCAAATTGGTCAACGGCTTTGTTGCCATCAATGCCTACATGGCTTGGAAGCCAAGCTATTGTAATAGTTTTTCCAGACTGATGTAGAAAATGCAGTTTAATGATAAGTTTCAAAATTCTGTTGTCGGAGGTGTCAGAGCGCTCTAAAGATTTCAGACGACAACTTCTAAATCGTACTGCACATAAGAATAACTTAAAAGCGAACTATACAGCAAAGAGCCAAAAGGAAATGAAGAGCAATTACTGAAAGAGATATCAGCACTAAAAACGAAAAGTGTGGATAAGCAAAATACACAAAATCAAAACCTTGGGGTTCACAATACATTTCAACAAAAAAAAACCCACAAAATGTATTAAAGTATTTTTTTACAAGCAGACTTGAACCTACACATTCAAAATTAGAATGTCAGTGCTTGTACGGCTGGGGTGGGGGCTGAAGTTACATTGGGGAACACAGAAGAAATAAAACATTAACAAACCGGTTGAAAAAATTCCTGCTCAATTTCTGCTTCTGCCTGCCAAATCAACTTGTCATCATTGCCATCTAGCTTCTGGAAGAGGACACTGGTGCCTCTATTTTTGAAGTTTTTACCAATGATGAAGAGACTTTCTCCTCCCTCTATACTGCACTCTGACAAACTCATTCGTGATATCTCCGGCTGCCCAACAGGCTGAGCTGTGACGGTAGAGGGAGAAAAGAAAGGACAAAATTCAAGCTAAAGCACAGTCCAACTTCCAAAAACAATCAGATCAACAGCTGGTGACTGATTAGTCTCAACTTAAGCCATTAAAAGGGATTAAAATTTCCTTCTACATCATAAAATGCCTAATCTCAAGTTAGACTACAAATATAAAATCTTTTTCAACATTAGATCTTCTACAAGAAGTCACATAATTGCACATTACAGTTAGGCATGGTTGGGGTTTTTTTCTTTTGATAAGTTCTGTTTCAATATGAAATATCACCAACAGCTATGAAACATTTTCAAAAGGCGGCTCATTGGAAATACCCCCGATGTCATTTTGCTTACAGACGTGCTTTTCCATGAATAAATATGAACTAGCACAACAGTCTTGATCAAATTTCATATTAACACGAAAGAAACGTTTCTTCTTCTTTAATTATAAATTTGGTACTTTAAAAAATACTGAACATCAAAATGACATCTTTTCTTTCTTCATTATATTGACAACAACCTAAATTTTCTTTGTATTCCAAAAGCTATAATTCATTGAACAGCAGATACTCAGTACGTACTTCAAACAAAAACTGAAGAACAAAAATGGGTCTCAGTTTTCAGTGCGGACCAAACATGATATGAATGCGGTCTTTGTTGTTAAAACAAGTTTTTTTAAAAAACAACACCTATGTATTCACAGAGTCTATGAGAAGAGATAAGAACAAAACTTACTGCAAACAATGGGGTGCGACACAACCTGCAGAATGTGCTGGCTACCGTCAGCCTTCTCCACAGCGGTCCTCATGACCAGCCTAGCCTTTGTGTTATTTTTCTTCTTGTCACGCGCTCGCTTTGGTCCGATTCTTCTTTCAACATCAGCATTTCTCAGCTTCAAAATACCAATACAGTCCAATCTGATGGTGAGAGAAATGTACAATATGTGTAAGTACCCCTTTAACACCAAGAACTCAAAAAGAGTCTAAATCCACATAATAAAGTACAACTTCAGAGCATCATATCAAAGTGGAAGAACTTTTCCTTGTAAGTAATGAAGAGGCATAAATATGTTCATATCCAAGAATTTTCTTCATACTGAGTAGAATTTACTTTATACTGTGTATAAATTACTTTGTTGCAATAAAACTCTTAATTATTTTTTTTTTTGCTTTGTAAGAGAATGCCCTCTGGTGTGTGCATATATGCAGGGAAGGAGAGAGGGACATAAGGAAATAGGGAGAATGTGTGAGTTAGAAAGAGAGAGAGAGAGAGAGAGAGAGAGAGAGAGAGAGAGAGAGAGAGAGAGAGAGAGTTAGAGAGTTAAAAAGAGAGAGAGCTGCTCTGTGGCCATCAGCCTATGTATATAGAGTGACAGTTAGACCAGCACGATACACATGGTAATACTCAGACTTTTTGATTGTAAAAGAAAAATGCAAATGATCAACAGAACTAAATCATTCATACAAACATAAGACTTTGGGATAATTATCAAAATAAAAATAGTGGCTCTAAAAAAGGAGGCAGCAATATGACAACAAGGGGTAAAAGAATAGACATGAATTTCTTTACTAAGGGTGACACGAAAGGCCCTCTCCAGCTAATAACAGGCCTCCAATTATCACATTTCACTAGGAATTGAAATATGGACCAAAAAAATGATGTTCTTAAAATACATAAACGAAACTTGATACTTATTCTGTGATTTCATCGTGTGATTCCCTTTACAGACAGGGACCAGTGAAGATCACCATTTCTCCTTTCAGATTTGATATTACTTGTGAAAGAAAGCTTTCAGCAGTTCCTATTGTACCTTTAGTGGTAGTAGAATGACAGTGGCTTCAGTGCCTACTTCGTCTGAGTCTTTCTCATGCCAAATTGTAAACGACCCTTGTGTCCTATACTTAGTACGAACAACTTAGCCAAACAAATGTGACTGACCTGAGCCAATGCAGCATCTATAATTTTAGACCATGCACAGCCAGACCGTGATACGGACAATCCACTGTGAGCAATTAGCAGCACAATTAAAACACCCAAAACACAACACTTAATGCAGAAAGAGAAACTTGGAGCATGTCATCAACATCATTGAGAAACGTTTGTAAAACATAAATGTCCTTAAATAAAACCATGGACATTTTACCCTAGATGAAAACGAGGTAACAGACAGGAGGGGAGAAGGGGTGTATTCAGTGGTCACAGATTAACACAGTCGGATTTTACAAGAAAAGCTACATCAAAAAAGAAATAAGCCAAAGAAATGAAAAATATCAAGAGTTAGAGATAGCAGTGTGCAAGAAGCAAAAGAGACAAGAGGTTCTGGATTCTAACTCACAATCACTTTTCAGGCATTCTAAAAGAAACTTCACTATGCTCAAAACACCTATGACTAAAAAAACCCAACCCTTTTGTAGTATGGAAGATCAAACAAAACAAAATTTGTAGACCAGAGCTCAAAAGCAACCAGTGCCGCACCAGAAAGTTAATTCACCAATGCACTAAGGAAATGTCGATACTGTGATGGCCACACAGTGATGAGATAAAGTAAGAAGACAGACAGGTTTATGGACAGAACATAAAAATCAATCATTGCTTAATATCACTTATCACAAAACACACCAAAAAAAACCTTTTTGATTGGCTGTTTACGGCAACCAAATATATGTTTAACAAAACCCAATTCAGGCAATAGGATCTCATTCTGACAGAATTTTCTGCACCAACTACATGTGCAGGGGAAAAACAGAAATAATGGAAATCAACATTCAAGTACTATAGCCCTCCCACACTGAGACACTTGGGATTAATCAACAGAATACACCTTCAGCAAACCCGACTCACTTCACTGTCATGTCATTTTCGGGCAACATCTCTATCTCAATGACAGCAGTGCCTTCAATTTCTTGTTCTGTGCACGGAGTGGACGTTTTACCAAACACTCTGCAGGCCTGGTAGAATCCATGTGGCTTCACTCTTCCGCTTTCATCACCAATAAAGACCTGAAGCTTTGTTTCTTTGTTATAGTTGCAAAGCTGAAAAAAGAGGAAAAACAGTATGAGACTACAAACAAAGACTCACAACCATAGTTCACAAAGTTAGTTACACTTCAGGCTTTCATGAGAAGGGAGTGAAATTCTTAAGGAAAATTCTTTACCCAATTACCAAAATCCACTCAGTTGTTAACGATAAAAAAAAGTCAGCTCAGGTATAAAAGCCAACAAAAAAAGGGGGACCTCCCTCTGCAAAATGATGTTAAGAAATACAATAATAGAAAGAAACCAACAACATGTGAAAGCTATCTGTTGAGGGCACTAATCAGTAAAAACCTAAATATCAAAATTAGATCTCTAGGTGGGATTTCATTACAATTTAAGAAGAAAAAATTAATGTATACATTATAACATACTATGTTAATTCTAACATACAAAACTGAACACATTTTAAGAAGAGAAAACATTGCAATTTCTTCATAAAAGATAAGTAATTCTTAAAAAGCAGAAACACAAATCACCTTTATTACTGGAAACCCTTGTTGACTGGCATCCTTTATGGCACCCCGACTACCTTCTGTCTGGTATCTCGCTCGGTGTTGTGTTTCAGGCTGCTCCACAATTTTCAGCTCCATATTATCTAACTTACTGGAGAAGTAGCCTTTCAAACTGTGGTCCTTTTGTTTCCGAGAAGTGGGACGTACAGGCTGTGTGGGCACCGATGGGCGTGATGCTTTACCACCAGCTTTTGCAACAACAGGCCTGAAAAATTGAACAACAAATGTCTCTGAGAGAAAAAATACCCTCTACCATTTAGTTTTGCCTTGTAATCAGTGGCACATGGGGGAAGAGTCCACACACCTCCACAGACATCATGACATTGCTGTTCCTGCAGAAATTACCCCAACTATCAAGCTAAGATACTCAGATCATTTTGCCGACACAATCATCTTTCTTATACTTCACAGTCAGAAAAAGGACATATCTAAGATGAAACTCAAGCATTTGATCTCCTTTACCCGAATCCAAAAACAATCGACGGGGGTTAAAAGTACCAAAAAATTTTGGGTGAGCAACTGATTTTAACACTCACGCAGACTGACCTCTGTCATTTTAAAACAACAAAACCATAACATGACAACTAGTATAAAGACAGCAGTAGTAAAATAGACATTTTCAATATGAAAAACTAGGTGGGTACCCGTTCGATGAACGGATTCTAAAGAATCGATCATCAAGTTATTATGGAACCAGTGCGCACAGCTTGTGAACGGAAGCCTCCCTTGTTTACAATGGCGTCTTAGAAGACTGACTTTCCCAAGATTAGATCTAAACGAAATTAATGAAAAAATGAAAATTAAACTACAGTGACTTCAGACTCCTTGATAAATAACTGTCCACCCTTTAAATGACTCTGAACCACCATTAATTTTTCTCAAATTCAAAAGGTGGTTCCGGAGTTTTAGGCGACCAAAGTGACGAACTTTCCCATATATATAATATACAAATAAAGTAAAAAATCTTTGCAACCACAGCAGCCTGTTCAGTCAATGGAGGATATGTCACATTCCCGACAAACAAAACTTCTTAAAGGACTGGTTCCTAATCAGGAAAATTTCCTCTGAAACGATCATTATGGTCAGTAGTATTCCTGGGCATCAAATTACTCTACTAAAACTACAACAACTAACTTAAATATCGAGGCACAAGCTGTTTTTAAGTGTAGCTGCTCTGTTTTAGAGACTGCGTTACAACCAAAATGAAAATCCCCAGTGTATCAGGATGCCTGAAAAGAAAACAAGGAAGAAATATGACAGTGCAAAAAAACTTACACTGATTCAGTTGTTGCACTAGCAGGTGTACTTGATCCAAATGTGAACACCTCTGTTGCATTGTCCTCTTTGCTTCCAAAACCAAAAGTGAAAGAAGAAGTAGAGCTGACAACACTGCCAATATCAAAAGTCGGATCAGGAGACGAGGATGGTGGAACACTTGAGTGGGCCTCAGCATCCAGTGATGATTTGGCAATCTTCATGGGAACACGATCATCTTTTTCCCTCGTGGCATTATGGGCCTTGAATGAGATCGTGTCATCAGCTGATGGTCTTTTGTTGAATGACGATATATCAAAGAAAGAAGCATTTTCTTCATCTTCAATGCCGTGCATAGTGTCTGATCTTATTTGGAGATCAGCAGAACGCTCTATTAAAGTTGCTTGAGTATTAGCATCTTCAAAAGGGTTTGGAGATGACAAAGGTGATGGAGCCTCAGAGTTGGAGTTGGCTGGACTACTCAGATCTACGCTAAGTGGAGAGTCGGAACGCTTTTTCTCTGTCAGAATCTGGGCTAGTAGGGAGGCTTGTTTGCTCAATGCAGCCTCTGAACTTGTTTCTAAAACTGGGTTTTCTGAAGCGGGAGGAATAAAACAGTCATTGGAAACCTTTGGGACAGCACTACTGGGGGGACTGGTCATGTTTTCTAGTTTCAGTTCCTTGAAGTCAAACATTTTACCCTCAGCAGTGGAGAATGAATTACCAAAGCTCAATGTAGTCAGCGGAGCAATGGAAACCGCAGGGACCGTGCTTGTCATGGAAGTGCTGGAGGTCAAAAAGCTGAAAGCAGAAGAGGAGACTGGTTGAGCAGTGGCGCTAGATGTAAAGGTGAAGGCAGAGGCAGCAGGGAATGATTTGGCGCTGCCAGAAGGCAAGAACGTAAATGGAGCTGACGAGACTGGAACTGGAACTGCACTGCTGTTTTTTAAACCTTCTGCTGAAGTGGTCACTGCTCCTGACTGCTGAACAAGGCCCACATGCTCTTGATGGTTACTTGGGAAACTCAAAACAGGAGGCAGCACAGCTGAAATGAACAAAAAGTGTGTTACTAAATTTATTTGATAGCCTGTGTTACACTTCTCTCTTTGGGATACAAAAGCAAAATAAAAATTAAAACCAAACACCTTTGAAAAATAAAATACTCTACATCCCATGAAAAAACAAAGTCATGAAGTTGCCAAATCTACTTCAGTAAGTTCAAGAATAGAGGCATAAAAATCAAGTTATAGACCACAACAATTAATGATTTTCCTTCTTAATGACTTGAGTTCTTTTAGAAACTGCCACACACATCAACTTCACAGGCTTGTCAACCCAAGAAGACAGAAGGAAAATAACAGTAAAACAAACTGAATTTTATGAGAAAAATATATTTTTTAAAATAAAGCGAATCTAACCATTACGATCAGTATCTTCAGCAACCTTGACAGCGGCCTTCAAATGTTATGTCAATAAGTTATAAGAGAACCATAATTCATAAACTGGAATGATAATGCACTGGAATAGTCAAAAGACCAAATTGGTTTTGTGAGCATTGTAAAAATCTTAAAACAGGACCATTAGTCCAATGAGTCTCAAAGAAGTGTACAAGAATATAAAGATATATTTTTTAATATGTAAGTCTGTCTTGGAGCATATAGGACATCTCACCAAAAAGTTTCATCCCTCAAGCAATCCAAAATAATATTATTGTTTTTCTTGATCTGCAACAGTAAAAACAATGTAATAGGAGCAGCCCATTTTTCACCATTTTGACTTTTTTTTTTAAAGAGCAGAGGTAACATAATTCAAACATAAAAAGCAAACCAACTGAATCCTTCAACTGTCTAGTCACAAGGCTGCTTTGGGATCTAAGGTAGACCTTTTTTTAGTATAGGGTTTTACGGCGCTCGCAACTGCATAGGTCATATGAGCGCGCGGGACACACCTAATATTTTTCAGTTGGTAGGAAATTTGGAATTTTGCCCGGGTGGCGGCCGAAGCCTACTCTTGTCGATTTTAGACCACCAAGGGATCTTTAACGTGCGCAACTTGCACACGGGCCCTCCGAGATTTTTCGCCCTTGTCCGAGAAGGCTAGGTGTAGATCTTTCCTACCAGAAGATCAGGGGTGTGGCAGAAAGACAGCAGTTAGGAGGAGCCAAGGAGTAGCAGTAGAAAGGCTGCAGAAAGAGCCAGGAGCCCAGAGGAGGGGGCAAAGGAGGTGAGGGGGTGGGGGCAGAAAGTGGAAATGAAAGCAGACAACAGAACATTGTTAGAGATCAGGAAAGGATGGAAAAGGAGACAATTTTAGAGAAGAAAATTTTTTGGTCGCTACCCGGAATCGAACCCGGGACCTTTGAATGAGAGGCCAACACCTTAACCTCTAGGCCACGAGAGCCCCCTAAGGTAGACCTTACAGTAAGCCGAGCACGAAAGGTTTAAATAATAGCACACTTACTTTTTTGTACTGGTACTTTCTCCACAGTAGTAGTGACAGCTAAGGCTGGGTTTTCTCTGGTGAGTAAGCTGTGCAAATGTTTGTAGTCTTTCTTCAAACTGTCACTGCACTGCCTCTCAGTTCCCTTCTCCACGACAGGAACAGCCTGCACTGGTGCTGCTGCTGGTAGCTGGGCAGGCTGAGACAGGCAATGTTCCTCCTGCTCTGGCTCTTTCTTCTGTTGGCCCTGTGCCTGCTGAAGCTCTTGCTGCATCTGTGCCAGCTGGACAATGGTCTGTGCGTGTCGCATCTGCTGATCCTGCACAAACGACTGGGCCTGCTGCAGCTGCTGCTGAGTCACTTTCTGCTCTGTGGTGACCACCGTCTCCTGCTGCTGGTGCTGAATGATCAGATTCTGAACAGCCTGTTGAAGTTGCTGCTGCTGCTGCAAAACCTGGCTCTGCAGCTGCAATGGGGCAGCCGCCGACTCATGCTCCATGACATGTGTCTGCTGAACAATGTGTACCTTTTGCTGGCTATGCTCCTGCTGGAGTTTCTCTTTTTGAATGGCCACGAGCTGGACAGATGTCTCCACTTTCTGCTGTTTTTCCTGAGCAGCAAACAAAATGGCTTGTTCCTGTGCCTTGTGAGCAGGGAGTGTCGTGGGGAAAGTCTGAGTCTGATGGGCTTGCTGCACAATCATCTGCAGCTGTTCCCTGGTTTGTTGCAACTGCTGGTGTGGGTGCATGAGTCGAGGGCGACTGGGTAACGCACTGCTCTGGATGAGCAGCCTGGGCTGTTGCAACACTGCAGGTCTCAGAGGAACAGGTTTGGGCAGAGCTGTTTGAGATGTGGACCCAGTACCCATCACCACATGGGACTGCACGGCTGGGGCTGAGGGCAAAGTGATAGGTCGGGGAGTCTGAGCAGATTGAGCAATACTTTGTTGAGACAGCAGCTTTTGGAGGTCTTCCAGAGACATGATGATATGAGGCTGGCTTGTGTGAGGGCTGCTGGCACTAGCAGGGTTGTTAGCCTTTGAAATGACAACTGCTGCCATCCCACTGAGACCTTGATTTGCCGGTGGGGCTGGAGTTAGGGCATCTGGAGCTTTGGTGGCAGCTTGTGCTACAGTCGATGATAACACAGCATTGGTCAACTGAGCTTGTGGCGCAGGCATTTGAATGACCATGCTGGCACTAGAGACTGGGTTGGAAGCTGCTCGAATAAAGCTTAGCCCTGGCACAGTCGCCATGTGAGGAATAGAAGCACTGATAGAACTGCTTGTCTGGGTGGTACTGTTGAGGCAAGCGATGCCAACCTGTGGGGAAGCAGTCAGTACAGATGTAGAGGTCGGCAAAGGTAAGTTGACAACAGAGTTCAGGATCTGTGACAGAGCAGCTGGGATTGCTGTTGCGTTGACAGAACCTAGTACTTGTTGTTGGTTGGAAGCAATTCCCATATTGGGACGAGCTGTCACTTTGGGCTGGTTGGTGCCCGAGCTGGCCACAACAGGCCGTGAATTGGCAGGAGAGGCTGCTATCATAGTGACCACAAAGCGAGTCTGTCCAGGTTGGCCTGGTGCAATATGAGCGGGCGGGATAAGGCTCGCATTATCAGGATGGCTTGAGCGAATACAGGACACGACTGTTGGGTTCTCAAGAAAATTGGGCACAGAGGCCACAATGTTGTTATTGGAGGGCACACTTTGATGTACCTGGGCTTCACTTGAATTAAATAAAGGCTGACTGTTGGTCATTCCAGAAGATGGAGCCACTTGCTGAAGCACAGGAACTCTATCCTGATCATAAGCACCAAGTTCACCCAAAGTGGCATGGTGTATGATGGACTGAGGACTGCTGTATGTAGTCGATGTGACACCAGGGGCATGTGAAAGGGCAATCATTCCAGGAGTTTGGATTGCACTGAGACTGATTACTTGCTTCTCTGCAAGTTGATTGCCAACAATAGTCGGAGAGGAGTAAGTGGACTGAGGTACGCTGGTGGCCACAGTTTGGTTGAAATCACTGACGGGCAAACCAGTTACATTAGGAGCAGTCTGGTTGGTGAATATGGTCTTCTGTTGACTCAAATCAGGATTACTAGATTTCCTCGAAAGTTCGTCTCCAGCTTTAACAATGAATCTATGGATTTCTTCAAATGACATGCCTGAAGGAAGACTGTCTTTGCTCTGCTCCTGAATACTTTGATTTTGAATCACACTAGAATTGTGAGCAGCAAGCTGCCCCTGAATACTTTGACTTTGTATAATATTGGAACTGTGAGTGCCCATCTGGTCCTGTAAGCTTTGATTCTGTATCCCACCAGAACTGTGCCCAGAGGTAATATCCATGGCAGACTCTGCACTACTGCTTGATGTTCCCAGACCAGCTGAGGGGTATGATGGGAAGGAAGTTTTCATTGTTTCTGCTTTAGCAGTAAAGTCTTGCTCTTGAATTTGCATGGGCTGTGGATAATTTCCACTTTCTTGCTGGACAGTCTGCTGAACATTGTTAAAATTAGAAAGCACAATCGACTCTTGATTATTATTCACAGCCACATGACTAAACCCCATTGACTTATAAGCAAAATTGCTATCAACTACCGTTCTCGGAGTGAAGGATGAAGTAGGCAACACTTGAGCAGTGTTCTGGGCACTTTGAGCAAAAGATTGTCTCTGATGAGAACTGGCCTCCGTAGTCACTTGAGAAGTGCTTGAATAGTCAGCAGATGATGTCAAGTTGAAATCCATTGCAGTCTCAGTCTCTGAAGCAGCAGCATTTGAGTACTGAAGCGAGTTGTAGACACTGTCAATAGCAGAACTATTCAAACCATTGTCACCCTGGGATGCACTGGGGGTGGACGTCTCGATGCTGAAACCACCACTGACGACAGCTCCTAAATCCAACTGCGGAAAAGAAGTAGGCTCAATGGATGAAAGTCCTGCTGGTACATTACTGGGGTTCTGTAAACTGTTCTGGGTCTGGAAACCAGACAGACTGGTCACCAAGTTACTTCCCATTGAATCATTAATAGGCTGTCCCTGATTAAGCACAGAAGGATTCATGAAGCCGGTCTGAGAAACTGAAGCCTGGGTTACTGGTGTACACTGATTGGGTTGCTGAACCGGCACCTTTGTGGCGTCATAGCCCATAAAGTGGCCTTGGGGATTGTTCATAGACGCATTCACCGACAGGCATTCCACTTTATCATCAAACCCTTGAACCTGCTGGTTTTCATGGGAAGACGTCAGAGCAAATGGGACGGAACTATTCACTGGAGATGTGACACTGCTATGGTAGCCATGCTGTTGTTGCTGCTGCTGCTGCTGTTGTTGTTGTTGCTGTTGTTGTTGTTGTTGTTGTTGTTGTTGTTGTTGTTGCTGCTGTTGTTGTTGTTGTTGTTGTTGTTGTTGCTGCTGCTGTACTTGTTGCTGATGTTGTTGCACTTGTTGCTGTTGTTGATGTTGCTGCTGTACTTGTTGCTGATGTTGTTGTTGTTGTTGATGTTGTTGTTGTTGATGTTGTTGTTGTTGTACTTGCTGTTGTTGTTGTTGTTGTTGCTGTTGTGGCTGTTGTTGAGAAGAAAGAATTTGAGCTACTTCATTCCCATAATCAGAACTTCCTTGCTGCACCAGAGGACTCTGCTGGAATTGTGCCGACTCTGCCGGGGATGTCTGCTGGGAGGCAGGACTGCTGTGGTACTGACTCCCATCTTCCATGGAGAATCCTGCAGCTCTCTGATCCTGATGGAGTTGCTGCATGTTGGCAGACGCCTGATCCTGAACAGTGAAACCAGCAGCATTCCCCACCACCGACTGGGCAGACTGCTGATAGTTAGACAGCTCCAAGCTGGGAGACGGGTTGCTCAGTTTTGAGTCCGCAGGCGACCCCTGATACTGTCCAGCCGAGTAAGGGCTAGAATGGCCGGTACTGAACTGCTGAGTGGGAGAATTGACTGAATAGCCCGCCGAACCGTTGGACTGATTGGAGGCAGGTTGTCGGGGAGAGCCAAACTGCACATTGTCAAGCACTTGGTTCTGCACTGGACTCTGTTGGATCGTGTAGTCCGTAGCTGTGGAGGACGAAGATAACGACTGGTTCAGGGGGGACTGGGCAGAGTGGGGAGAATTTTGCTGGTAATCTGAATTTGTCTCGGAGAACTGCCTGGTATCAAAAGACACACCTGACGACGAATACTGAGCCTCTGGAACATTTGAGGAATCACTAAAACCTGCCTGATCTTGTTTGAAGCCAACAGCTTCCACTGCAAAACCTGAGACAGCTGCAGAGTTTCCATTTCCAGTTTGTGCATTGTTCACAGCCGATTGCTGAAAAGTGTCCGCATACCCAAGACTTTGTCCAACAGTGTTGCTTGAGCTATTGAGAGCTCCACTACCAGAAGGCAAGTGATATGAAGGTTCATCCACATGCATCTCTTCTGCTGGTTTATATTGAGTTGTGTCAGTATTGTGAACGTCCAGCATGTTCACATCGAGACTAGTTTGATTAGAATTAAAGTGAGCTTTCGATGGCGTATTAAACGAGGATCCCAGAAGGGCAGGATCCTGATAACCACTACTTTCAGGTTGAGCTTGAGTCTGAAACTGCTCAATGCCCGTGTCCACATTGGAAAACTGTGTGTCAAGCCCTTGATGGCTCTCAGAATACTGCTTATTTTCCGTCTGAAATTGAGACGATTGTCCATTGTGTTGTAACTGAGGTTCACTGCCAATGGCATTAGTCATTGACTGTATATGGCCCTGACCCCCAGGGTCACCATGATGACCACTAGCGGTGTCAAACGCTGAAGAATTCATGGTCTGTGCATGGGGGAACACAAGGTCTCCCACTACATTCCCACTGCCACCCCCGGAGTCCTGATATAGAGAGGCACCTTGACTGTACGACTCCTGTTGATGCAGGTACTGCTGCTGTTGCTGTTGCTGCTGCTGCTGCTGCTGCTGCTGCTGCTGGGGTATGGTCTGCTGGGCACCATGGGGTGCAGCACCAGAGGAAGAAGCAGAGTTGGGAGGGTGGCTGATGTTGAACGAGGGTGGGTTTGACGAGCACAACTGAGAGTGGGAGCTGAAATGAGCCGAGTCTTGTAGGGGAGCACTGTTGAACTGGCCCTGCTGAACACCCTGAAGCTGGAGGGAGTTGAAGCCACCATCAGGCATGGCAGACTTGTTTTCCATAGAAATTCCCTGATCAAATTTCTGAGCTAGTGGTGGCGTGGCACAGGAGAGTAAATTCACAAGATCAGGGATTGTAGGCGGCTCCTCCACTTTGTCATCTGAAAATAATGAAATATCGAAATGCTTTAGAAATCAATCTGCATCTTTAAATATAATTGAACAGAAACTGTCCAAGATAGTCACCCATATTCTAGGAGAAAAACGGTTGTACATCTCGGACAGTGTCATTATAATATTACAAAAATGCTCAGGGGGGGAGTGGGAAGCAGTCTTTTGTACAGGTGATTGTCTTGGACAAGTGGCCATCAGAGTGGTTTGTAGTAATGAGAAAAAAAACTAGCCTTATGGGTATTAATACCTAAAAGAGTGCTTTTCCATTTCTCTGTCATGAACACTACTCAAGAAAATCAATGATGTACTGGCACACATTATATCAATGTACAAAGCACACTGGTGTCTGTATAGCGCTTAGGTGCTTCACTTAGCACAGAGGAGACCCCAGTTCAATTCAAGAGTGAGGAGAAATTTGTAAGGGGTATCTCTGTCTTTCTGTTGGGATATTGTATCCCTCTCAGCCCAGGTGAGCCCAAATAGGCCATGTCAAAAGCCCCCCTCCTAAATAATCTAAATTGTGTCGATGGAGGCATAAAAACATCTTTTTTTTTTTTTTAAAGACACAGAGCTCATCATGAAAATGTGTCTGCTTGGGAGCTACTTAACAATAGAACACTTCTTCAGTTAAACTAACTGTGCTGGGTGTCCATTCCACATATGAAAGTCAATATCAATCATCCACATATAATAATATAATTAACGTATAATATTTATACATCATTTTCTGACAAAATCAAGATATTCAGCACCAGACATTCATATAATATCCATGTGTCATTATTAATCATAACAAAACACAGCGTGATTCAGAACTGAAACTCGCTTTTCAAGAAGCATGTGTCTAAAAGTAAGGCGTACGTATGAATAAGTTTCTATTTATCTGGCAGTTTTTTCAGGGTTTTTTAAAATTGTTTGTTAAAGAAAAGTTTTCAGAGTCTAATCCTACTGTATAAGTAAATGTGAAGATGTAGCAACGTATCACAACTGTTATGAAACAATAACCTGCATTAAAAACCCTTATTGATTCAAAATGACACAAAATGAAGGTGAAAAGGCAAACAAAAGCAGTCAACATACCATGCCTAGCAATTGCAGATGGGTTGCTATTGATGAGTTCATTCAAGGCATCTTTCAGTTGAGAAGTCATAGTGGAATCTGAAAAGAATGGAAAAAGAAATTTTTATGTTAAGAGTTTCACAGCTATAAATCCTGAAAAGTTTTTTTTTTGGTTTATTTTGTGTGTTTTTTTGTAGAGGTTTAACGACGCTCGCAACTGCATAAGGTCATATGAGCGCCAGAAGATTAGAGTTGCTATAAGAGAGAAACAAATATAAAAAAGAAAAAGGGGAGCTATGGACGATAAGATGTTTGATAGGAAAGAAGAAGCAAACCACACAAGAGCACCCGCCAACCACCCACCCTGAAAAGTATGAGGTAAGGAAAAGCAGCAACAACAACATAGGCAGTGATGGGTATACCACAATAGAAAACAAACAAAACAACAACAACAACAACAACAACAACAACAACAACAACACGGTCAATATTCCCGTCTGCATACAGAAAACTATGATCAAAAGGCAGCTGAAACGCCAATTTTTCAAATTCAGAAGACAAATTTATTTCTGTTGAATGTAGTGTGGCGTTTCTCCTAAGGGGATCAAAGAAAACATTAATCTCCCCTGGCCCAACTGGGAAGAGAAGGAAAGAGGGAGACAAAGAGGGGGAAGAAGAAGGAGGGTGAGTGGAAGGAAAAGAGAGAGAAATTTAGTTTCATGGCATTTGCAATACAAATTGATCATAATTATTTTTAAGTTCTGATGATTAGAGGTGTTACTGGAGAGTACCATAAAAAAAGAAAAAGAGGTGGAGGAGATGCGGGGACGATAGATCTTTGAGAAACGAGAAGGAACAGGAGCAGACAGACAGACAAAAAGACAGACTAACAGACAGACAGAGCTTGAGAGCAGGTGAGTATTTAGAGGATGTGAGTGTATAACATGTTTCACACATTAGAAAAACCAATCCCTAGGGCTCGCTCCAAGTGGTAAAAAGGGGGATGACATCAAATAATAAAAACTAAAAGAGTGTAGGTGGATGGGTAAACATCAATCTAGCACAGGAAAAAGGAAGTATAAAATGCTAGAAGAGTGGATTCACTTTGTATGCCGTCCCGCACCAACACAAAAAAAACAACAAAACAATCCATTGACAGATACACTGTGTCAACGCTGTGGACCAGGAACCACAATAGCTGACTCACAGTGGAGATTGCTCATGTCGCTGGAGCGACTTTAACAAGCGCTGTTTCACTTTTTTTCCATTTGTTTTAATGTTTCAGCAAGTGTTTTACGGCACTTGCAACACAATAAGGTCATATAAGTGCCGATGATTAGGGGTGTTACAAGAGAGTAACAAACATAAAAAGGAAGGAGGTGAGATAAAAACGATAGATGTTTGATAGGAAAGAAAATGCAAACCACACCAGAGCACCCGCTAAACCACCCACTTTTTTTTCAGTTTTAGTTAGTGTTTTACGGCAGTTACACCACAAGTAGGTCATATAAGTGCCTAAGATTTAGAGTTGATACATGAGAGCAACAAACAAACAAACAAAAAGAACCCAAAAAAATAGAAAAATGATGATGATAAATGGTTGATAGGAAAGAAGGAGCAAATCACACTAGAGCACCCGCCAACCACTCACTTTACAAGTACTGTTTCGCGAAACTGACAGAGAGAATCACGTTTGGAGAGCAGGAAAGAATCTGCCCTCCCTCTTCAACTGGTTCTGTGGTGAGCTTTATTATACGTAAAGCATCGTCATGACTTTGTCATAAAAAAAATAATAACTTAACAAATAATATCATCAGGCTATGATGCAAAGGTCTTCAGTGGACAAATCGTGTAACATTTGAATAAACAACAATAAAATTACAGCAGTCGTGTAACTTGCGACCTCAGAAATCAGCCTGTGATATACCCCAACACATTGACTGCTTGTTTCAGTTTAGAGAAGCACATCGACACAGAAATGGCCATTACGAGTTTTGAGGGTGCAGGTAGGG